AGGATATTTTTTTGTGTTGCTTACTTTATTTTCAAATGGTTTAAATAAAGCTGGATGTTAGGTGACAATGTTTATTTTTAATGTCAAATAGTAAAATAACTGACTCGTCGATTAAAACAACGACAAAGTACATAAAATAAATTATTAGTCCATAGTGCACATTATATATACCGATACATAGATGTAGATGTACATAATTTATGATTTTTTTCTAGCTCAATGCTATACTTGTACAATAAACTATATAGTATAAAGATTTTAATTTATTTTTTAAATTATTAAAATAATCTTCTTATAACATAATACATAAATATAAGCCATTAAGCCCGAAGTTTTTTTGTATTTTAGTTTTAATATTTGGCTTATTTAGTTTTTAAAATACAGTATATTTATATATATATAGAATATACAAAATAAAACAAAAAAATACTTTCTTATGTTAATTTAAGAGTGGTCGGGATATTATAAAAACAAAGAATTGTGATCAACAGTTTAACATAAAGTTAAATAATATTTAACTAAGAGTTGAGTGGCACAGGGGTACCCTGCAAAATGTTGGTCCATTACTCCACTCATTTAAACTTCAAATGCTTGAAACTAATTAACTACTTGTTCAAAATTTGATTTGTATATATATATTATGTAGATACTCAAAAATTATAATATGATTCGAAATCTGAAATAAAAAATGAAGTTGTCATTAAAAAAAGTAAACTTGAAAAATTATAATTTTTAATTTATACAAAGGTATTTAATATATTATAACAACACAAAATAACTGTAAAAAAATAATTAATTATTTTCAAAAATGTTATTTCTCAATGGCATTCAATTATGTAAAAATAATATGTTCAAAAAAGTTCATATATATTAAGTTTAGACGCTTAACTAGACCATAATGTATAGGTATACATATTATTATGTAAGTACTGAGTACTGAAGTTCTTATTACGTATGTAATTGCATGATCCATGTATTTTTTTTCCAAATTAATATCAAGCATAAAAATAAAATAAAAAGCTGACCTATTACTGACTCTAGTAGCTAGTTAAGGCCACTTGTCTCACTTTCCACACCTTTTACAAGGAATAATGATAATAAGAGTTGACATGTCAATTATACATTTGTATATTGTAATAATACATTTGAAATCAATTATTGCATTTAAAAATGATTATGAGTGGAGTTCCGTATAAACACTATAAACTACAAAAATTTTGTCACCTTGTTTGTTTTTCTTAATAAAAACATTTCATGGCTATTATCAGTAGTTTACCTTAAACATGGATTAACTATTGGATAAGTCGAAAGTTGACTCACCAGCCTCACTATTTTCATTTATCGTTAACGGTGTTATATTTCTATGTGAAACTAATTTAATCACTCCCCGAAACTACAGTTTAAGACAATACCAGCTTGAAAATGCATTAAATGTAAATATATACACGTATCGTTGTATCCAAGTTGTAGGATACTTATTGTCTTAATATTGTGAAACCGACGTTTACTCGGCAGTGTCAACAATTTATAGAACCTATTTTAAACTTTAGAAAACAACATACATTTTCGAAGATATAATAGCAAACGGAATAAAATAAAAATAATTACACAGAGGAAAACCACGGAAAAAAACTAAGTAAATTTTAATTAAAGTGACTTGTATTTATAATACTGCACAGACAACCGTGGTAAGGTAACCTCCACCAAACTACCAAAGCAGTGTACCATCGAACGGTTTGCTCGTCTGACTGCATTATGTTGCCGCACAATAACCACAAAACATGAATATTATTATTATTTCCAACGTTGTATTTTAACACCACATTAAATCTAAAGAATTATTGCGCAATATTTAACGTTATGCGCCATTGTCGTAGTAATTACATACTGTTATATTCTCAGTTCTTAATAATATGAGTCTTAAAATAATACATTACAATGTACCAGTTTGATTAAATCGATCGAGAAAATAATGCTGACAATAATATTTTAATTTATAATAACACGTTATCAGCAAACCCATCGAACTGCGAAAAATGTTTTTAAAATTACTTCACCTAATAATAACGCTCAGTGGGTACCTTGTATATATTTTTTGTTATTTCCATTACTTTAATGTATTTATGTTTCTTCTTCATAAAATACTTAATATTTTAAAGTTATTATAGTTACATTTGTAATATTTCAAATTACATTTTAACGTTTCAATAGATTTTTTACAAATATAATTTTAAGGTACGATAATATGTATATTAAAGCATTATTTCCAGATAATGTCTAGTAATACTGATCTATATGTTTACTTTTAATCCACGTGATAACTAAAATAAAGACATTCATATTTCAAGGAATATAATATAATTTATTAGACTTATACAATTATTCATTACATTATAATAATGTCTAAAATTTGAGTTTTGACGCATTTTCCTCGCTATGGGGATGCATGATGTTTTGATTGGTATATCTGAACGTGTCTTACGAGACGTTTGTGATACATTAGGAATCGGAAATAATAATATAAAAACGAGTTCATCATTATAAAATAACGATACGATGTATGAAATGTACGCGTATGGGTTATTAATCATGGTCTCAAAACCTATAACCTATTGCGGTTACGATAACGGTTTTTTAAGCATATATTTTTTTCTAGGGTAGTATGAGTTCACGAGAAACTTTCATAAATATGAACACTATCTCTATAAATTGTAAATCGATTACAGGCTATACTGAAATTACGTCATTTTTTATTTTAAATAGACTCAAAAACCAATTATTGAGACTTTGAATAAAAATAATACTCCACTATGATTCAAACAGCACACAAAATATTAAAAATCGGTCAAATCAGCTAAATATTGTCAAAAATATAATTTCTTATCATCGTGTATGAATATGAAAAAATATACATGCGACTAACAGTGGCAATTTATGCACAGACCGAGACTTAAGACCCGACCCCGGCCCAGTGGTACCTACTCTTCGAGTTACAAAAACTTGTTTAATCAAAAACATTTTCATTTTAATCATGTTTAAAAAAAAAAAATGCCTTTATTGTTTGCATTGATTACTGTCGGTGCTCATCATAGTTTTCCTTTTATTTACATTTTCAGTTTATCGTACATTTTTGTACAATTGTGTTTTTTTATGAGAAATACACCCATGGTGCGTTGTACTTCAATGGCTCAAAATTCCAAGGACAGAAAAAATAAATTCGAAATGTTGACTTTTCGAGTTAATGATGTTCGAAAGTGTTTTCAAGACACTTAATATTTATTTTATTTTTTTGTTTTTATATTTTGTACGATCAAAATGTTTAAGGTTAAGGAAGAAGTTTGAGTTTATTTATTTTTATATAAATATTATACATACGTATGTAGTTGTATAATAATACTGTGTTTATTTTACACAGCAATCAAGATTTTAAACTGTAAAGATTAAGATTGTCGTTAAAATAAGCGATTATCATTAATTTTCAAACATTTCAATGAGTTTTGAATAATAACTGTTTGTATTAATTATTCTTTTTTTATAATAAGTGTGAATTAATTTTTCGCATTGTTTAAGTGAATAAGAATGTTGACAGGTAATTTATTATAAAAATCTTTGTGTGCACAATTTATTTTTATTTTCTCCCGATTATTTGCAACATTATTATAAGCTATAGCAAGTATAGGTAAATATCTATGTTAAATAGATTCATTTTTGTTTTTACACATTTTCTATCGTTACTGTAAGTATAAACTGCAAAGTTATTACCGAGCACTTTAATTTAATTGAAAGCCAAAATAGCTTAAACGTTTTTTCGGATAAAAGTAAAATAAAATGCTAACACGTGACATTCTTGTAGATTTTCCCTATGACATTTCGACTGCGTATCGAACAGAAGAATAATGGAAACCACACAGACAGGAAAATTAAATAATGGATTTTCCGTGAGTACCGAACAATGTGAATACATGTTTGTTGGGTTTTTCACTTCGACGGCGGTCATTCCATGCATTCGATACAAGCGTCACCGATAGTTTTTTAATGCAACTTCCATCAAAAATTCTGACCAACACATCATTAACGTTTGATGCGTTTTAGAATGAATTACTTTTTTGTGATGTATCTAATTTTACGCTATGAACATATTTTCACAAACCCACCCACCTATAATAGTGGTATATTATTTTCAAAATACCCTGCCACGTATAGTTCAATTTTTATGTATTGACCATTGAAAAAAATTCGTAATACACCGTATTTACATTACCTTACACTAAAGTTCGAATACTCAATAAATGTATATAGGTATACGTTATATTTTTAAGCACTTCGCACAAATGTATCGTTTTTTCACACATTTTGGTCAGATTTTAGTAATTTATAAGATTAGGAATTTACATTATCAAGTATCAACTGCATTGAAATCGATCTTTTAAATATCTTGATAAGTTTCTAACTCTACGATAGACGATATAAGGTGTTGTCTTATAATCGATATCATGTTATATTTCTCGTCGGAAGTAGTTATTATTTTTAAACACTTAATTGAAAAATTCATATCTGTGTAAGTTATGTGTTGAAAATTATCTCAAAATAATATTGTAAATACATCAAACGTTATTCAATCTATGTAATCGAAATTCTTCTTTGTCCCATATTAAAATCTCATATTTTGATAGAGTACCTCCTACATTTTCAGAAATCAAGCTTCAATTACAAGTATTTTCATTCAGTTATAATTAAATTTATAAAAAATAAATCTTCAATTGCTTATATAGATGTTTTTAATAATACGTGTTCTTTAAATAATAATGCAGGAGACATTTAGTCATGAGAGCAAATCCATTAGGAAATGTAATTAACTCTATGTTGATTACAGTAATTTTAATTTTAATATGAATATTTCTATTACTCGCACAATCTAGTACAGTTAAATTGTTTCTGGGAATAATAAGAAACAATTTAATTTAACAATTATAATTCAGTACGTATTGTAAATTGGCAAACAAACATTCGATCTCATTGTGTAAACGATTTAAAATTAAAATTGTTTTACATGTAATGTTTAACTCTGCTTTGAATAGGAATGATAATAATATGTGCGACAGAACTGTACAGTGTTTGTTAAGGCAAACATTTTCTGGCTTGCCGAACAAAACGGAAATCCGTCTGAGACAAATGTATTACTGGCGGCTCGCGTGTGATTCTATGTTTTTGACGGACGGATCATTAAAACAGTTAAGTGATTTTTAAAAACATTATTGCTTGTAAACGGCGTGAAAATGCTTAGATTAACCGAAACTCGTAACGATTTTAGTTACGTCTCAAACCACCAATTCTAAAGATGTTTTCTATTATGATAATCTTGTCGTTCCGTGATAGCATCGTCTTTGTACCATTTATGATGTTTGCATATTGATAATGTAGTCCGTTGATGCAAGGAAAGATAACTGGCATTTCCGGACAATAATCTCCGTAATCGGATTGTGGTTAAAATGTTACCGTTAGCCGTCTGTGGAATAATTTATGATCTAGCTTTCTTGTGTTCATGCTCTCGTCTTAATTCCAATTTGTCGGAAACAGCAATATCTTAGACCCAAGTTCACCATACATCCGTCGGATAAGCCGAATATCTCAAAGGCCCAGTTCGTATTTTATATCACAACATAGTTTATAACACGCATCATATATTAATGGACCAACATGAATCACATAGACACATTACATATTTACATGTTTGATAACTTCTATACAACACTTTTTTCCTTTTTTTTGATCGAAACGTTTTATTTTTTACCTTGGTAAAACAAATTTTTAAATAAGAATATTAATAACTAAAATGTTACAAAATTTAATCAATATACTCGTACTATATTAATTTGATCCAATATGTACATTTTTAGTTAATTTTTTTTTCTACCTAGTTACATAATAACTAAAGTGGACATAGGTACAATTTTCTCCCAGTTTTGGCCATTATCTAAGTAAAAACTTTTATAATTTTATTTGATCTACTAGTATATAAACAATTTAATATATGGGGGATGAGGTGACCGAGTGGTCTGACGCGTCCGCTGCGACGCAGCCGGTCGCGGTTCGATCCTCGGCTACCGGGCGGCATTTTTCTCCGGACAAGTTGCGGTGACCGGAGAACAAGTGCTGCCATCCCCCACCCCCGGGGCATGGCAGAAACCTACGGGTGCCCCATTCGAAATTCTGCCAAAAAACAAACACACACGTGTTCCCCCCTACCGTTCCAAAAAATATACAATACAAACTACAATACAAATCCTACTACAGCTAATGGCCTCAGTTGCCGAAGCTTAAGTTAATAAAAAAAAAAAAAAAAAAATTTAATATATATATATAAATGAAATAGTTGTGACCTATGGTTTTACATTTTTTTTTTTTGAAGTACCTATTTAGTTTTATTTTGTAAAAAAAATTTACCGATGTCGGTGTTCATTTTTTAAGTTGTTGTTTATTATTTTTATTTCACTTTCAAATTATTTTTGTTATTAGGTATGCAAGTTTGTCAAATTTTATTTTACTGGAGTTATTTTGTGTAGTGTATTGTTCATTATTTGTATACAGTCATGAGTAATAATGTATTAATACACTAGTATTTGCGTGTGTAAAAATAGTGTTAGTAAAAGAAATATGCCCAATTATGTTAAAGGAAATAAATAGTATAGAACATAATATTATAGTGACCAACGCCGATTTAGTCCTTTTAACACTTTTTTTTACACTGTGGGTATTATTATTTACACAAATAACATACTGATTATTATAGTGAAATTATTTCAATGGCATTCAATTTTATAAGACCTAAGTTGAAGACACATTCAAAGTGCCAAATTCAATTAACTAGATGGAAAGTTCCATAAATAAAAATGTATAAACTTAGTTTCTTATGATTTAAGTAATAAAAAAATAAACCATAATATACAGATAACAGTAAACATGGGTGTGTAGAAAAAAATGTGTTTAAGGACCAATAAAATAAATAAATTGTTTTTCGATAATATTTTTATAATATAATACTGTAATCTTGTATAAAGTGAAAATATGGAGTAAATGACGATGAATTTTTGACCGAAAACTTAGATATATAATATTATGATATGTCCAATAAAAGTTGTTAATAGGAACTAGGAAGTATATTGTAGCATGATAATAACATAATTTTTTGTATCGTCGTACATCATTGTTAGGTAATTAATGGTGAAGATTTTGATGTTCATTGTTAGATTTCAACCTACATGCTACAATATATCATGTAGTATTTTTTAATTCCTATTTTAAGCTTGCTATTATTGCGTAAGACAATATTCGATTTTATTGGAAATACATACAATATTATTGGTTGTTTGTATACAAAGGTTTTTTTTTTAAATTCATTTATTTTTTACATTTATTACACAATCTGTTTTAGGTTTACAATAAGTGTAAGTGATGTGCTGTGGGGATTGGGGAGACATGATTTGTGTCTTATTGAAGAGGCTATCCGTTAATGGAACTTCGGACAGTTGGAAGCTGAATTTTTATTCAACTAATAAGTCGCAGAACCAATTGCATTTTAGACGCCTTAGAGGGTCACCTGGAATAGTGGCAGATGGTAGCTTGGTGACTAGAGGATTTCGGTGATTTAGTAGACCTTAGTGAGAACTGAAAACTTTAACTCAAAGCTTAAAATAATAATATAAGAGCGTCGTTGAAAAAGAGAACAAGTCGGGCTTAACGTGTGTTGCCGCTCTCGCTTGTGACAAGTGTAATATTATTATGAAGGTAGTTGTGGTAAATCAATAATTGTGTAAGCAATTACTTTAACTGCCTTAAAGCCGTATCAAGTTTTCAAAATTAATAATTATTAATCGTTTTTGGGAGAAAAAAATATATTGGTTTAAGGAGAATAATAATACTCGTAATATTATGAACGAGTGATCGACACTTATGCATTGACCTATACGTCATAAAGTTGCATTTGTATAAATTATTAAATTGTAAGTAACGTTAGTGCAAAGGGTTAGAAACATTGCATAGTTCAAAGGTTTATTATTGAATTGATAGTATCTTAAATAATTAAACATGATTAATAATGTAAATAGTTAGGTTATATCTAATTTTAGACAAAAATATACATATTTCAGCAATTCAAAATATACTCATGCAAAACACATTCATCAAATATTAAGTTTTTAAGACATTTTAATAGATACCGGATCCTTTTTTTTAATTATTGCTTATGCCTTTTTTCTTATTGATGAACGATATTGTAGTTATTTACTCATGTGATGAGTTAAATAAAAAATCTTCTAAATATTATTTATGTTATAATACTTTATTGTAACTATATGAACATTGTATTATATAACTTCGAGGGTTAATATCCGTTAATACAAATCAAATATTAAGTTTAAATTGGTTTTAATATGAACCCGAACATTTTTTAAATTATTGCTTATGCCCTTTTGTTTATTGATGCTCGATATTGCAGTTATTTACTCATGTGATAGGTTAAATGAAAAATCTTCTAAATAATATTTTTTATAACGTTTATAGTAACGATATGTACATTATATTATTATAACTTCAAGCCGTTCATACAAATCAGATTATTAAAAAATGCAATATTCATTGTATTTATTTTGTTTATATTTTAATTTTGATTACTATAGCAATATTTGTTGAATTTCAGATTATTTATTATTTTTATTGGATTAGCTAGGTAGCTGTTATATTATAATTGGCATATTTTTTTATTTTATTTGCAGATAAACTCTTATTTCTGATCACAGATCAGTGATCACTATAATACTATAGTCAATTGTTATCATTCATATTAGGTACTAATATTTTCAGTTATAACAATTATGTAATTATTTAAAAATTGAACCTTTTGGGTTTTACTTTATTTATAAGCATTATTCTTCAAAGTTATATGCAAAATACATAAAAATGTGTATTTTTCTTTTCGAATTGCTAAAGTTAATACATTTACAATACATTATTATTTATGCAATATACACGTTGTTAAGGTAGAAAATAGTTCAATGAAATATGCACTGAAGCGAAACTTTAAATTGCTATAATATTAATCAAATAAAGCATTTTTTCATAAGAATACATAATCAAACAGAGTCGCCCCACTACCATTATATCTGTATTTATGTGGATTCCACTTTTCATTTAATACAAATTGCCTGTAGATGTATCTAATTTAAAATAATATTATGACTACAGTGTAAAGAAAATCATTTAAAATGTACAACTGATAAAAATATTATGTTCTCAATAATTTCACAGCATTTGATATAAATTTAATTTGTAAATATTTCTATGTCTTTTCAATCAAAAAAGTTCACACCTCAATTTAAATAACCAATAGTGGATTTCAAGTATAACCGGGACTCGCCTCTCCAATTGGCTTAGTGCCTAGGTTAATAATTTAGAAATTTTTTTTTTTATACGACGTAATAACACTTAAAAGTAAACAATGTGTATTGTACTAAATGATAATGCATAAATATATACTGATTTAATTACCATGTGTATGAAATTTATATTTAATATTGTTTTAAAAAACTTCCGCTCCCCCCCCCCAAAAAAAAATAAATAAAATTGCTTAGAGCACTGTAAATATTGTTATATATGCGTACGTTTGAATGGTCTTAAAAACAAGGTTAAGGTTACCTTTCGTTTATATACAGTCCACAATATAATTTTTGAATCATTTATTTGTAACTACTAACGATGACAACTGATTCAAATTTCTATAGTATAATATACTCATAATATAGTTCCATAAATAAAATTACAAATAATTATCAATTAAAAAATCCTGTTCCACGGCTTAAGTTAAAATTACAGCAATTGTCTTTGAAAATCCATAATGGAATGGCCTCGCCACATTTTGCCCAGACGTTTCTAAATGTGTAGACTATGTCCATTTGTTAGAGTTGTGCGAATGATTACTACGTCTGATTTACGAAGACGAACGCTCCGCCAGGAAACGGTTGTGATTTATGTTCTCATTAATACGTTTCGTTCATCCTCACAGGAGTTTAAATTATAGCCCGGATGCTGCAGCGTGTAGTACATAAAAAAATCGGAGATTCTAAAAAAATAAATAATAACAGTAGTAATAATAATAATAAAACGTCGAACGTGCAGTTATATTTATAGTAAGGTACAGGAAAAAGTACGCGCTTTGGATTAAACATATGATAATTGA